CCCCCCAGCGCCCGAATGTTGGGCCGTCAGTGCCTTGCACCGCCCGGGGTCGTCTTCTCGACGTCCTAAATTCCCCGGGCGGGAAAGACTGTCGGCAAAAAGCCGACTGGCCAGAGAGGCTCCCAGAAGTATGCTGCACGCGTTCCTGGGAGCCCCTCAGATATGGTCCGTTCAGGACACCCGGAGGGGTTTTAGTGGGTGCAAGCCCCACATAATCCCAGGCTCTCCCCCGAGGCCCGGGGTATGCGTTAAGCATTTCCCCCCCGTTACCAAAAAAAAAAGACGGGTTCTAACCCGTGGGGCTAGAGGGGAGCGCGGGGCGCGCGGAGTACTCGTAGGCGCGGGGATACTCGTAACGTGACCCGGTCCTTATTTTTTGTCGTCATCCACCGCTTTTTCTTCAAAAATGCATCGATAATAAAGGCTTGCATGTTAGAGAAAGTCAGAGCGCACGACGGAGTGTGTAACGTGCTATGAGTGAAGAAAGGATGGAAGAATCAATAGAGTACGAGTTTCTTTTTTTTACGACACAATTTTTTCAATATAGTTTTTCCTGGCGCGTCGAGACAAAGAATGGGAAATAAAAGAAAATACATACGTAATAATGCGAACAAAAATTTTTTATTCACATCTTATTACACTGGTTTTCGTACTTATTAAAAACTAAAGCTAATAGTTCGCAATCGATGAGCTGATGTCCATTGAAGATGTCGCTATCACGTATAATGTTCTCAGATGCGATGTTGGAGAATCGCGTATACTTGGTATCTATCGTATCGACGAGTCGAGCTAATTGTTTGAATGTTACATCGATACATCCGTTAAAGTCAAACATACGTTGTTTCGATCATCGTAATGCGGCTGAGATACAATCCGCGTCCATATTTGTGCGGAGCGAAATACAGGCCGCGGCCCTGTTCCATCGCGCGGTCGACGTTGCAGCTCCTCGAGCTGACGTCGCGCGGCTTTGCTATCGTTTACCGCTTTCGCCAATCAAGGATTGGAAGTATCCGCTTTTTCGTTGTTTTTTTCCTCGTTGTTGTCTTCTTCGATTTCATGCCCATGCCGATCTTGGTCTTGGCTTTCATCGCTACCCAAACGGCAGCAGCGGCAACTCTCTCGCTCAGAGCCGAATCTCTCACGGTAACGCGTTTCCGCGCCTTCTCGGTGAGTACTTTGTCTGCCGCGTGTCTATCGATGAGATCGTTGCTCCGAGAATACGCGATGTCGTGTTCTCGGCATGCCGCGTCCAGCGGATTTATGCCCGCGTCACCCCTGGCTAAGCCGAGTGCCCGGGCCGCAAAACTGGTAGCCCGGAATATGTAACTCGAAAGGAAGTGCATTTATCACTCGATTCAACAGACTGCCACCCGACGCTGAAATTTGCCACAGTCCTTTATCTTAGGTGCGGGACCATCGATGTGCGTCCCTTGCCATGGCTGATTGTAGTGCTCATCGCAGCGACGATACATTCGAACCTCCGAATCCGCCTTCACGTGTTCAGGAAGCTTGTCCCACACGTAGTCGATATAGTCACCGTACACACGTAAGAGTATGACCTTCGGTATATACTGCAGCTGCTCGGCGTTCAAGTCCTGAATGTCGAAAGGATGACATAGCGCGAGATATATTTTGCTACTGCACGATTCATAAATTCGCGCGCCTTTAAATAGTCGTTCGAGAGCGCGTAGTGTGAGCATGAAATTCGTTCTGCAACCGCTGTCGATACGCGTCATAAACTGCGACGCGAAATCGCGAATGATGGGAGATAGCATGAAGAAGCGCAAGCACGGCTAAATGCTGCCGAGTACTATACGCGCGATCATTTGCGACCCGTCGAATTGTGGTAAAACCAACATTTTTATAAGCTTATTCGAGAGCCCGAACGACATACGTTTCGAAAACATGTACATTTACTCGAAATCGTTGCAACAGTCAAAGTATCGATATCTCGAAAATTTATTTACGTCTATCGACGAAATCGGCTACTTTATGTTTTCCACCAACAGCGACGTCATTCCACCGAGCGAGGCGTATCCAAATTCTATTTTTATCTTTGATGACGTGGCATGCGACAAGCAGAATGCGGTGAGAGACTTTTCGATGGGTCGCCACGCGAACGTCGACTGCTTCTATCTCTGTCAGACGTACGCGAGGATACCTAAACATCTGATACGCGACAACGCGAACCTGCTGTTCAAACAGAACGGTACCAACTTGAAACACGTTTACAATGATCATGAATACCGACATGTCATATGACAAATTTTGCACGTGCCGCGACTATTGGCAGCAAAAATATGGATTTCTAATGATAGATAAAGACAGTGGGTTCACAAACGGACAATACAGAAAAGAATTTAACGAGTTCGCGATACCGTAACGTGACCAGTCGTTGTCGATACTTAGCCAGAGACGAACATGACAGTTGTGCACGAGTGAAAAAATCGCAAGGGAGATCGAGAAGACGAGCGATTCGATCCGCAAGAAACATCGCGCTCTGAAGACCGGTAGAATCGAGGAGGGCATCGCGTTGAACAGACATTTTAAACCTCTTATCGAGCCGCTGCGACTTTTCATCGACAGCCCCGGCGTGCACGCGACAAAGAGAAAGTCACGCAACGTTTGCCTCTAAACGTGAGAAGAAGGAAAAAGAAGGAACAAGAGGAGGAGGAGGAAGAGAAGCGAACGAGACGTTCGAATGTTCCATGACTCTGCATAAATCCAATGATCGATCGCACGATCGTGCACAGCCGATAACCTCCACACCGCGTGCCAAAACCGACGATAGAGTCGTTGGAGAAACGACGGAAGACTCGCTAGCGACGAAGGTTCAAAATCAGCTGCAAACGTCGGAAGATCGAGAGGCGTTACCAGCTGGCTTGGGCCCGCTGGGTCAAAAGTACGTTGAGGCTATCCTGAGGAGTGCAAGATAAAGAAAGCGCTATAGATCACGGTGTTTACCTACACAAGGATGGACTGATGTTTGGCAATAAACGTTTCGACGTGGACAACATAATTATCGACGGCGTACGATACGCCGATACACCTGGTCTTTACGAATTGATTTTCAAGAGAATTCTCGACGATTCCCTCTACATGGAAGACGATATGCACAAGTACAAGAGCATGCTGTTAGTGACGAACGCGCAAACACAACCATTCGCAGGGTCGATTATTGAACAATAGGGGATATAAGTACAAACACGTAATCGCGCCGTTGATGTCGATCGCACACAAGAAACAGAAGAAGAAATCTGGAAAAGGATTACCTCATGCAATGACATTGAACGATAACGCGATTACGTGCACTGGGATGATCCTAACGAGCTGGTGGATCGTCTACGATTGCTCAACGCTTCACACCGAGCAGGCAATAACGCTCACGACAACGAGATGCTGTCGATCATAGAGGAACTTCGCGAAGCTGTTATTATAGCTCTTATTATAAATTAAATCGCGTATCCATGAAACAATTCAGTCGAGTAACAGCGAGAAAAAATACATTATTTTCTTATGCCCAGTGTATTACGCGTCGAATCATGAAAAAGAAATCTGAGAAAAAGAGAGAAAATTAGCTCCGAGAGACGTCGACTCGTCGAGGAATTGCACGCTCCTGCGAGAAGAAATTTTCCGCGAAGGTGCGTCATAGTTCGGGGATACGACGATCTGTGGCAGACTGATGTCGTTGAGATGCGCCCGTACTCGGGCTTCAACAGAGGCTACCACTACATACTCACCGTCATCGATATATTGAGCAAATACACGTGGGCCGCGTATATCATTCAAAACCAAGGGTGGAAGCGAGACGGCTAACGCTATCGCTGAGATCATTCGAAAGAGTAAAATATGTCCGAAAAATTTGCAAACGGATATGGGGAAATAGTTTTACAACGCTGATGTGCAGAAAATCTTGAAAAAGTACGATGTTAATCACTATTCCACGTATCCGACGTTGAAAGCATCAGATCAAGCGGTTTAATCGCACGCTCAAAAACGACATGTAGAAGATGTTCATGCTTAACGGCAATTACAAGTGGGTCGACGAGCTGCCGCGTCTCCTGTCAGATAACAACGCGCGCAAGCATCCCCCCATCGGCATGCGCCCCGCCGAAGTAACTCCCGCGATCGCCGAAAAACTCTTGGACACGGTCTATAGCGTGATAAAGATCGCGAGTCCTGCAAAATTCAAAGTAGATGATTCGGTACGCGTGAGCAAGTACAAGACGATTTTTGAGAAGGGTTACACGCCAAATTGGACCACCGAGATGTTTACGATCTTTAAAGTGCAGCGTACCAATCCTGTAACTTATTTACTCGAGGATTATCGCGGAAAATTCATCGCTGGAGCGTACTATGAATACGAGTTGTATCGCGCTACTTATCCGGACGCGTATCTCGTGGAGAAAGTATTGCGCAGGAAGGGAAACAAGTGGCTGGGATTCGATGGATCGCACAATTCATGGATACACAAAAACAATGTTATTTGATAAAATTTTGATTCATATATTTTATTTCTACATATAAAAAATATATCAATATGAGTATATAAACGTATATTTTTTTTATTACTTCCCATTCATCTTCATTTTGCAGTTATAAAATACGTATATAAATGTACGATACATGAAATGAAAATAATAGTAATACATAATAAATGGTACTACATAAAACATAATAGTAATACATATATACTGTATGAAAATATTTTAAAAAATGTAAAAAACATAATAGTAATATAATGTTGATACACACACACACACACACACGCACACACACACACATACACATTGTTTTTCGTCGTATGGACTCAGAGCGATTTTCGATTCGGATCGTGTACACATCGTGCAGTTTAGATCGTATACACGATTGACGACGAGTTATTTCGATCTCTTCGTTCAAACATCGCATGTAATCGTCGAACGTTATCGTTCGCGCTACGACGTTACTCTTTACGCCTTCCGCTTTTTTAGTTTCTGTCTTGCCGTCCACTCTTACCGCGTACATCTTCGCTCTGAGATCAACGAATTCGGTCATTATCACACCGTTATTTTCCCTCGTCCTTCATCAGACTGGATACTTTTTCGTTCGCGAGAGGCATACCGTACGCGTTGTCCACCGGATAATCGCTCGTGTCGAATCTAGCGATATCGCGTTTCATAGTCTTGTAAACGTCCTCGCACTCGACGCTGTAAACAAGACTGTCCGTGTACATAATTTTACATTTGTCGCGAAACAATGGTAACATATACTCGTGATGAAATTCGTACAAGCAGACTTTCGATATGTCGAGTATACACATACCCACCTAAATCGGCTTGTTGAACTTCACCTCGAGTTTGCGCAGTTCGACGGCAGTAAAATTTTCCGCAAAGACGCTACGTCTGTGGAAATTCGATTTCGCGATCATTGCCTCCGCGCCGTACTATCCGTCCCATTTTTGTTAATAATTTTACGTCAACGTGGTTGCACACATTCTCCATAGTTTTACCGAATACCGCGTTGTTCATTAATTTATATAAATTTTTCTCGAAATCATTTTTAGCGCGAGTTCTGAAACTTATATTGAATTCAATATAATCTCGAAGCTATGGAGATTGCGCGAATTGTAGTCGATGAATCTTTGTTACGCGAAGACCGACGAGTACATTGCTACAGGTTGCAGTAATGGATGACGCAACGCTGTTTATCGTACAGCGTCGCTAAAAGTTTAGCGTCGCGCTTGCCGGGCGGCTTATCGCGTGTCGGGCAAAACGGCAGGTCAGTGTGTTGATCGTGTAGATGTTGTGAATACTCGAGATCGACTTCGAGAATGTAATCGATGGGTGAATCCAGAGCAATCGCGCTCACGTCAAAGTTCGCAGCGCCTTTGATCGAAATTCGGCATATGGGAGGGCAATGGTTGACACATAAATTGTTAATATCGTAGTACATCAAGTACGACGACGGTTTCGATGAATCGTACGAACGCATGTACTTGCTATTAGCCTGCGCGTATCTGCTTGAACATTGACTGAGACCGCCGCGTATACCGCACTCGATGAACATGATCATATCGATGTCGGTGAGTAAAATCTTATATGCGTATGTTTTAGCGTCCCACGTGAAACCAGGTAATGTATAGTAATGCGCGGGATCGAGACCGTAACTCGTGATACAACTTTCGCGGAAATTTTCGAAATTGTCGGCCAATAACAAGACATCGGTTTTCAAGTACAAATCACTGTACTCGCCGAGCGTTTGAATGGAGAATCGCTTCCAAATGTTTGCGGTGTGAGCGTAATCGCTCTCGGATATGTATCGCCCGTTAATGAACTGTAAAATGATTCGCGCGGTGGTAAGCGCGTGTCCTGCAATTTTTCGACGCAGTCAACGTACTCGTACGGAAAGACACCTTTACAAGTCAGTAATTCAAATTCTTCATCCGATAGTGTTGAAAATTTGGAACATACGATTTTTAATTTGTCTCTGCTTAGAAACGACGCCAATTTATCAAGGCTTGCATTTAGAAATTTGAAAGAATTGATGAATCGTAATTTTATGCATTTTCGCGAGTCTGCTCTCTCGGTATCTTGAACATGTTTAGTGAACCAAATATATTTTTCATTGGTTATCGGTAACACATCTACATATCCTTCGTACGCGGTAGGCAATTTCTTTAATTATAAAGTGCGCGTCGTAGCCCGATAAATTGTGAAAAATTATCGGAATATAAAACGAATTTTTATAATTAAGATTGCAATTTGCATGCGCTGGACCACGGAATCTACCGGTGACAATGATCGCAGACCCGTGTATCGTCCGGCGTTTCTCGCAAATATGACAACGCATCGCCTCCAATTGTTCTTTCGACAACGTTTCCATGGGTACGATATTTTTCGATGCGCCAAATCGTTGAGTTGTCGCGCGAACCACGCTATACAGTCTTCATCGCGATAGAACCGATATGACGATAAAGCGTCGTTGTACGAACATCATACGTAGTATCCTATACTAAATACCTCGTGCCGTTGATACGTGTACGACGACGCATTTTCCCTGTCAAGTTCCATCTTCCGTAGAACGCACTCTAAGTCAGCGACGATGAATGAGGTGGGCTGTTTATTGCAGTGGTTCTCAAATTCAAGCCATTTGTCGTCCACGCTCGGCAGCGGAGTCGTTGATCTTCTCGCAGTCCATTACATGCGACTACAATTTTTCGTTCGTACTGAAGTAGTGCAAGCATCTGAAAAAAAAAACAAAAAAAATTATAACTATTATCTATTTTATTAGTAAGATAGAAAATTATAATAATTTTTCATGTATACTTACCGATCGCAGAAAAATTTCTTGTTCTTTTTCCCATTAATCTATGAGCTCACGAGACGGGATAGATTTTTTATCCACGCAAAATGTCCAACACCGTCGTTGCGTGGATCTTGCACGTACATGTTTCTCCTTCTTTTCATTGGTGAGTCGCAGAAGAAGGACCTGTTTATTCTTGATGCCATACACGTTGATCGACACCGCGTTCAACCGTTCAAATTTAGAAATGTCTTTTGAAGTCATTAGAAACTCAATATTTTGCGAGATTTAATACTGTCGTATAATGTGGATACGACGATTCCCGATCTGTATACTTTTCAGCGGGGTACAGCGCGGCGACCACCGGTCACGCGAATCATGCATTATCCGTCGTACGCACACTGATCACCGCTCGTTTCGTCGCTATTTCCCACTTTGATATGACATCCCGCGCGCATGGGATTTAATTTGTTCACATTGATAGTCAAATTCATTATACGTGACAATGCCCACTCGCTGTCGCGTTCCTGGAACTCGAGCGATGCTAGGATAGGCTCGATGACACGCTGCTCGTACCACTCGCGCAAATCAGTGTGTCGGTATATCTCGCTGTTCTTTGTAATTATGCTCTTATTAGCACGTTTATTCTTCGTCGCGAACTCACTGTTGAACGCGGTGTTCACTTTTACGTTACCGTGTCTTTCTACAGCGTCTCGTCCACGCTCGAACACTATTTCTCTCGCGTCTTCCAAAAACCGTCGCGGCTCAATGTGATTAGAGTTTATCACAGCACCTATCGATATACGACTTTCAAACGCAGCGTCGATCTCTCGCCAGACGAGATTTTTCGTTGCGACTCGCGTACTCGCCACTCGCGTACTCGCCACCAACGTGCACGAACCTCGCTCCAATTGCAATTTTGCACCCGCGAGTCACGTGAACCTCGCCACCACGGATTTGTGTCCAATGACGAGACTTGGCACGACAAAGTTCTTCGAGCCACTCGTCGCATCATTACAGCCATGCAAAATACTCCACCAGAGATCTGATCGCAATGCTCCAGCAATTCGCGTTCCAGTCGCTCATGATTTTCCATGTCTTTTTTACAGTCTTTAGATCATGTCACACTCTTCCACGGAGCACTTGCACGTGACTGGTTCACATGTTACAACACCGCGATATATCTAAAATGTCATAATAACGTTCTAACACCTTTTCATTATGTTTGTTTGCGAAACTATTCTCACTCAAAGCATTGATTATCGCATCCATCGAAAAATAGTTTTAGCGCAAAATCGCGAAATTCCATCTATATATTGTCAATAATCAGCAGTTCGACGAACTTTTCATTACTCGCGGGAATCTTAATGCACATGCACCAACCTTGGCTCTTATCTGCGATTTTCTTCCCCAATAATAATCGTCCTTTATTACATTGACATTTCTATTCCAACAATGTCTCTTTTCATATTCCTCGTAACATTTGTCTCATAACCGTGAATACACTTTCTGTCGCGCGAATAAAGACCGAGTAAAGACAGTCAGAAACAGGCTCTCTAATAACCATGTTTCTCACCACGTATACCTATTTCTCGATCGCGTAGGAATTGCACCGGCGATATTCGCGCACTTGTGTCTCTTTTTCGCAGATTACCGAGAACATATAAAACATCATTTACATTATAGTCTTCCCACATATTTTCCAGTGTAGTGTTTCGCTCACAATACTATTCGCAATAGTTTTTTTCAATGTGTACAGTGTGGGCACTTGTTGCACGGAAATATAATATATGTTGGCATTCTGCAATTCGTGCAAGACCGACTGCTTAGCGCGTCAATATAACCGATATCGTGCTTCCTTACGAGATACATTTTCACGATATCAGTATCAGCCAAACGGATTATGCATGCTACATATACACTTTGTTTGAGATCGTTAATTCGTAAAAAGGTAATAATTTTTTCGCTCGATTAACAGTAATTGTTGTTAGACGCGGGCATGAAATGAGTTTATAAATTCATTTCTTGCACAATCTTAATTCTCGCTAAAGCTATCAATTTGTCGGTTTTTTTTCATTTCAAATTAATTCGTTACACACACAAACAACGGCAACGGACCCTCGAAGGTTCGAGAACAATTCAATTCACGCACGCGAGCGCAGCGCTCCGACGAACACATCACGCGCAGCCATCAATCCCACGCGCGGATTTTCTGTCGCGCATGACTGTTATGTCGAACATCATTAGAAAAGAATTCGAGGCGCCAATTAATTTTATACAACAAATGCCACGTAAAAATTATAATTGTGGCAAAATTCTATTGGATTTTATCAAGAAGAGAGCCCAGGCCACGAAAGCAATATATGCACCGATCGTCACTGATCTCTTAGTGTTCAGAGTCTTGCTGTTATATCGTGTCGAAAACTGTCGTGAATAACCGCCTAGTAAAACCGCTGTAAGGAAGATTCCTTCGAGAACCGTCGAGAAAATCGCCGCGATTTTCTATTACTTCTATTACTATTATAATTCGGAAAAGGTGATTGTATCGAATATTCCGCGATAATTATTTATGTATATTGAATTTGTGGTTGTAAAATTTGAAGTAAAATCTTTAGTCAAACTACAAAGAAACGGAGTTCTCTTCACTGTCGTGCGTTATATCAGCCGTGTGCCGTCCTCTCACTTTAATCTTTACGCGCGGTGCACTCCCGCACACACTTAAAGCATCACCCGTCGTACAATAACACTGGATTATGTATGCAGTGTTTAGTACGATCGTTCAGTGCATGGATTTCTAAAGATGGCACAAATCTTTCTACGTAATCTGTATCGTACTCGCTCAAGTCGCTAGCATAGTTAGCATCGTCTGATAATATTTCTTCGTCGGAATCGATTTCTTGGTCCATTATTTCTTCAAAATCCACTTCTTGGAGCACTTCGAACACTTCGTCTCTGATTTGTGAACTGTTCCGAATCCACGTTTCGAATATACTCAACTACGTTGGCTATGTTCGTACGATGGTTAGCCATACTTATGCTTATAGTCAATAACTGAAACGACCGATTCGTTCGTCTTCCAGGACACCAACTGTGGTGTCGAGCACTTATGACCTATTATATATTTTATTACGTCCAGTAGACTCCAAGATTTCTCCGTTTCGTGAAAATTTTGATAAAACAGTCGTTAATACAAAGCACGAATATAAAACTCGAGCTTTAACGGTCACCTATCGGCGAGCGTGATAATATTCAAGAACGTGCCATTAGAAAATCTTTCCAACGATATTTGAAACATAAACAAAAACATAGATATACTCAGAATCGTTAGATCCAATAAAATTTACGACAAAGATTACCATGTAGAGAAAATCCTATTTATACACGATCGCTTCAGTAAGTACAAAATCTAAATGTGGATCCTGTATAGATAAAGACTCATATTTCCAAACGTGTAAAAGCAAGTTGAAGGGCGTTTTCTCGTCAACAACAGGAAGTTGGTAAAATAAATGAGGAATCACAAAGCGTAGCTTTTAATTTTTTAGATTGTCGATCGTAAAATTTAAGTAAATATTTTCTAGACGAGAGAACGCATGTTCAAGTAATAAAAGAGAAATTGATGATAAAAAGGATGCGTTCGACTTGGAGTACTCGCCTTTGTGTGAATACTTGCACATCCTGTCATCCACATTTACTGCAGAAGAGTTATGTTTTTTTTTGTTTAGCAACCGAAAAATATCGGCGCTATTAACGCGTGGCGACATGTCACCGATCTGATAGTATATATAAACAGTATATAGCGCTTTTTTTTATTCAATCGTAAATATTAATTACGAGCGATGAGACATGGATCGAGTAAAAGAATATATACGTCGAAAATCGATCGAGCGCAAGAGGTACCGTCCCTTGTCACCAGGTCCGCCAAGTCCATCACCATCGAGGGAAAAAACGAGATATTGGGAATATCCTGGTAAAAACGCATCAAAATCGTGTTGCTCATCATCAACGTCATCAATGTCATCGAAATATAAGCCATAAGGTATCTTATTTAGAGTGACTAGTACTAGTGCATTTTATTCTCTGCTGAAAAAAGCGAATAGTGGTTAAAAAAATTTTTCGTTCTCTTTTTCCAGAAAGTGCTGCTAGCGATGTTCGAGACACCGATCGCATTCGAACGTTGTCGATTGCGAACTGTTAGCTCTAGTTTTTAATAAGTACGAAAACCAGTATAATAAGATGTGAATAAAAAATTTTTGTTCGCATTATTACGTATGTATTTTCTTTTACTTCCCATACTTTGCCTCGACGCGCCAGGAAAAACTATATGAAAAAACTGTGTTGTAAAAAAAGAAACTTGTACTCTATTGATTCTTCCATCCTTTCTTCACTCATAGCACGTTACACACTCTGTCGCGCGCTCTATCTTTCTCTAATATGCAAGCCTTCATTACCAATGCATTTTTGGAGAGAGAGCGGCGGGTGACGACAAAAAATAAGAATGGTCCTATGTTTACGTAAGAACCGGGACCTTTCCCCCTCCTTCTCCGCGTTATGAGTATCCCCGCGTCTATAAGTACTCTCCACGTCCCGCGCTTCCCTCTAGCCCCATGGGTTAGAACTCGCCTAGTATTCCTACTATTACAGTTTTTCATTTCCAATGTATAAGATGCTTACGCCCTCTGAATTAATATAATCATGCAGGAAATTCGATTAATTATCGATTTTTTTTTTCTGTTTCCTACATTACCATCTTAGCAGAGACGAAAATATATATTAGGCTCGGTTCCACAAAGTGTAAGATTTATTTTACTTTGGAAAATTGTCCAATTTTAGAATTGAGGAAAAAATAAACCGAAATTGAAGTTAATCTTATATTTGGAATCGGGCCTTAGAAATACATATATTATGTATACATGCAATGTTGACTGCATTCCAATATATACCACCAGAACTAAAAATCTGTAATATACATAAAATACAGATTTTTAACTAATAGTTATATCGATACGAAACCGTAATAGCACTTTTTCCTTACGTCCAATACCATTTTAGGTAACAATA